GCTCTTAGCTTCCTCAACAAGCTTGTTGCTTGTTTTTCTATAAAAGAGAGGCCCCCTCTCCCTTCTCCAGGTTCAGAAAAAGTGCATTGAGATATAAATACACTCCTATCTCTATATTCCTCATTTCTCTCTTGTTTTGTGCGTAAAAGTGCATTTCTTTCACACTTTTGCACACAAACACATAGTGAAACACCATCCTTTTGTTGCTGAGGCACCTAGGAGCTAGTTTTAGTGTTTTTGGACTGGTTTGAGCTCAGAAAAGCTGCTGGAGTTGCAGCTTTGAAGTTGTTCTTCAAGGGTAAGCTTCTAACCCCTTAAACCTTGGTTTTTGTTTAAGATTTTGGCCCTATTTGTATGCTGATTTAGGCCTAACTTTTAAATGCAAAAAGTTTTTCCTTTTCATGCTTGAAATGTTTGTTTAACGCCTTGTTGGTGTTGGGGGTGGTCTACCCCCTCTTGTGCCTTGTTTGGCCTTGGTTTTGTGCTATACTTTTAAGATATTGGGACCACCTCTTTTTGGCCTTCTTACCACTGAAACTCAGAGGAATTTCAGTGGTGGAAAGTGTGTTTTGAGGTCCCAAATAGGAGGGGGTCATCCCCTCTCCTTGTATCTTGAATGCTTGCCTTATTAGCCTCATGTTTGAGCATGGTTTTCTAGCATGTGTTGGCTTGTTCTCAACTTGTTTTTGGGGTTATTTTGACATGGCATACCTCTAGTTTAGCTTGGTTGAGTCACCACTTGCATGCATTCTACACTTGTAGTGTAATCTTGCATGATAGCCTAACATGCATCATGCTTTTGGACCATCATTTTAGCATGTTTTGGCTCAACTCCAAGAAGATTTTGTTCATGTTTTACCATACTTAAGGTCTGATTTATGTTGTTTTGATCACGCATGCCATGCTTTGTATAGCCATAGTGCATTCTAGCTCACTAGCTTTGAGTTTCCAAGCCACTAGCATGCATTGCTTAGGCTATTTGCATGATTTAACATCATTTGTTATGTGATTTCAGTGCATGTAGTGTGGTCATACACTCGCATCTGTCACTCTTTCAATGCATTGGAGAATTTGTGCTTTATGCCTTAAACATAAGCCATTGTGTATGCCTTCATGCCTAAGCTTGCGAGCTATCATTTCAGTGTGGTTTGGGGGTTGTTTTGCCATGATATAACTCTGATTTTTGTTGGCGAGGCCATCCCATTCTTGGTTTTGGTAGATGTAATGTAATCTTCCATATTGGCCTTGTATATTCCATGCTTCATGCCTTCATGCTATCTTGTTTTGGCTCTGATCCATACATATTTTAGCATTATTTTGACATGCTCTAGGATTGTTTTGGGTTGCCTTGGCCATATGCTTCATGTATTGCATAGCTATAGTGCAAGTGTCTATGCTAGTTTCAAGCTTTGAGCCTCCTAGCATGCTTTATATGTGACATGTACACGATTTGACATCATTTACCATGTTGTTTCAGAGCATATAGTATTGCTATGCTCCCACTTCTTTCATTCTTTGAATGCCTTTAAAGGTTGTGCATTATTGCCTTGTTTGTGGCCTAGCTTGTATACATGCATGCCTTGCCTTTTGAGCTCCCGTGTCAGCATGTTTTGGTCTTGGTTTTGACCTATTTGAGCTCTGTTTGTAGCTGGTTCATCCATTTGTGCCATGCATTGCATGCCTCTTGTGTAGTTTCATTCACTAGCTTTCACGCTTAAGGGCTCTTGCATGCCATACTTGTGTTGTTTGAGTGGTTTGGCGCCATTTCATACCTGATTTCAGTGCTTATAGTGTTGTCACACTTCCACATTTGTCACTCTTTGAGCACTTTTGAGAGTTATGCTTTTATGCTTAGTTGGTGGGCTAGAGCATGTGCATGCTTTGTTTTGCATTTCATGCCATCATTTCAGCATTTTGGTCACTGTTTTGGGCATGATTGAGGTCTGTCCATATTCAGTTTAAGTTCATATGACATTGTTATTTGCATGTTGCATGTTCATGATGTTGTTGCATGCTTGTTGCATTGCATGATATTTACATGCTTGTTGTTTGCATTGTGTGTGCATGCCTTGCATTGTGTTTGGAATCTTGTGCATGCATTGCATTGTCTTTGGGTAGGGAGTTAATCCAAACACGAGAAACGAGGAACGTTTCATACTTGAAGTGATGGAACGTGCCTCATTTCTTAGTCGCCGACGCTGCATGATAGGGTGGAGGCCTCTTGAGTCTTGTGTGTTACTTGTGCATTCATTAACTTGTACAAACTTGGCTTCTTGGCCATCGTACATTGCGATGCTTAGTTGGTGGCCCGAGAGTCGAGTACTACACCCCATTGAGCTTAAGAAATGATATGGAGGGTAGTTGTGCACACATATCTTGTAAATACATTGTCATGCCCCTTCTTGTTCTCTGTTGTAGCAAATTGGAGTTTGGCAGCAAAAACTGGTCAGCAAACCAGTAAAAGTGGCTAGCCGACCACTTTTTCTGGTCTGCAGCAAATGTAAGTGGTCGGCAGGTGGTCGGCAACACCACCAAGTGGTCGGCAATGCTCCTGAAGGTTCCCATGATGGAGCAAAAGCTATCTGGAGCTTTGTGCAAGGTTCTGAGAACAATTGAAAACATAGGCAAGTTGGGGTATCGCGATGGATTTCTGAACGAGGCGACCGAGCATGCATGCACTTCTCGGTCCGAGGCCCTTTCTAATTGCTTTACTTAGTTGCTTAGTTTAAGCTAGCTAATGCTTTGTTTTTGTACTTAAGTAGTTAATCCCCTTTAGCTATTCAATTTGTGTTTGTAATAACTAGTTAGTTAGCTTGTTAGTTAATTAGCTTCATTTTGTAATAATTAGTTAACTTGTTAGTTAATTAATTCTGTTTTGTAATAATTAGTTTAATTAGCTTAGATTAGCTAGTTAGCTTATTATTCAGACCCTCCGTCGATAGGGCCAGCTGTTGTAATAAGTGTGCGTGTGTGCAATGTATGTCTTCCAACCCCCGTTTCTTTCTCCCATTTTACTTATCTACTTTTCAGTGGTTAGTTTTAGGGTATATTTCAATTAGCATACTTATGCATGCATGTTTGCATCCATTCATCTGTCTTGCATGCACCGGGCTCGGCGCATCATACAAACTGCATTGTATTTCAATACCAATTTGAATACATGTTATCAAGTGTTGCATTTCACATGCCATCTTAAAATAGTCGAGCCTATCTTAGTTGCATTTTGCATGTGTTACATTAGGCATTTTTGACATAGCTAGGATCATGCATTGATTACTAACTAACTTTTGTTTTGGCTCAGAGTACTAGGTAAGCTTTACACTTTAGCATACTGTATAAGATGTGTATGTTGCCATGTATAGAATGCTTACCATGATGCTATTTGCTTAACTGATACAACTGCATGAATGCATGTGGATGAAGGTTTCGTTGCTTGAATTGGAACAATTCATCAAAATGCGAGTTTTAAGCCCACTTGAGGGTGGCAAAATCCCCGTCTTAGCCTACTTGCGAGTAGCACCTTCAAACAATTTTCAAACAAACAAACATGAGATGTTTTGTTCCAATTTAGGCGATCTAGTCTATACTTGTATGTTGTGCGCATCACGTAGTAAGATTAGCTAATTAACCGGAACAAGAGTGCATGTGTTTTCAAAAACAACATATCATGTTAGTAAAGGACGATCCTTTGATCGGGCGAGCGGGGGTGCTCGTTGCATGACCTTCCCCTCTCCTACCCAAGTTCCGGAGCCGAGACAACTTTGGTGATGACGGACACGTGGCCTTAGGCACGAGTCAGGGTTTCCTAAATTTCTCCAAAATAAAAATATTTAGGTGGCGACTCTGAAATCTGGCAAAGCAGTCTAGGTTTGGCGCTTTTTGATTAAAATCGATTTTCCAAAACGATTTGCCGGATTTGGACTCTTTGGTGATTTATCAGTCTTACATTGCACTTTGTAAGATTAGATTCAGAACCGTGACATGAGTCCGAATTGTAGTAACTAAGAACTAACGATTCGCACCCTCGCGCGCAGAGCGAAGTTCTGAGCGGTCTACACCATCATTTAATAAGTATTTGGTAAGTATATGTGGGGTGTCCATTAATAAAAAAAAAATACATAATATTTTTTTTTCTTCTTCTTATTTTTTGACAACTATTTAAATAAGCATGAAATGCAATGGCAATCACAAACGAAAGTTTTGTTTTAAAAAATAAAATAAATAAAATAATAATAATAAAAAAATTCAAGGTTCACTTTGCTTGGTTGCTTTCAACACTTTGCTTGATTTTATTTTTTCAAAAAATACTTTTCAGAAAATTCTATTTTTTTATTTTTCATATATATTTTTTTATTTTTATTGAATTTTTTAAATATTTGAAGTAATTTTTTTTACTTTTAGATATACCTAACATAAACATACCTAAAAAGTAAAAAAATTATGAAAAAAACCTTTTAAAAATTCACTAAATACCATAAATACAAAAAATATTAGAATTCAATATATTTTTTGTATTTATTAATTTTTTAAAATATTTTTTCACAATTTTTTTTTACTTTTTAGATACATTTAAGTAAGATGCATCTAAAAAAGTAAAAAAAAAATTATTTAAAATTTTAAAAATATTCACTAAAAATAAAAAAATGCGAAAATTAAAAAATTTAGTTTTCAAAAAACTTAATCTAAAAAACTCAAACCAAACAGACTAGCAATCACAAGATAAGTTTTGTTTTAAAAATAAAATAATAATAAAAAAATCATGAGATAGGTTGAACTTATTAAACTTTTATAATCTAGCACAAGGCGATTATAAAATTGAGACCCAAACAAGGTAGATCACGACCATTGGAATCAGATCTCTTATCAATATATATCTAATCCTACGGTCAGAACAAAGAGCTTAAGGTAAGGGCATTTTCATCATAGTCTACCTCCCGAAATCTACCGCCAAAGTTTCGCGGTCCTTTAAAAAATTCAAATTTCATATGAAAACAAATCAAAAACTTTCGAACCAAGCAGAATTCAGATCTCTCTCTCTCTACCCTGCAAATGGCGAACCCAGAACGGAGCTGAAAGCATTCTTCTGAATCATCCCAATTTCAGGTACTCCAAACTCGATCTCAATTCTATCACCTAAATTCCACCCCTAATTGTGTTGTTGAAAATTACATATACACAATAAACAAATATGTATGTTGTTCTCGTTTGATTTCTCTAGCCCGTGACCTAATCTGAAACACCAATCTATTCTCTCAGGTTCTGATCTGTTCTGTCCTGTCAATTTTGAGTGAAGTTTGGTTCTTTTTCTTGAACTCAAAAGATTAGGAATTTTTAAAATTTTGAGTACCCAATCTGAGTAACTATGGTGAGGGAGCAAAGCGTTGAATCGTTTTACGCTCGATTGCGTGAATCGGCTTTGGCTTCGGCTTCTTCCACTCCTTTGCTCATATTCCCATCGACTTCTGATGTCGATTCTCTCTGTGCTTTGAAGATTGTTGGTCATGTTCTTGAATCCGATTCGGTTAGATATGCTTGTTACCCAGTTTCGAGTTTTAAGGAAATTCACAAGTACGCAGGACCCAATTTGTGTTCTTCGTCCGATGAACCTGTTACAATTCTTTTGGTAAATTGGGGGTGTCACCGAGATCTGCGAAAGGTCTTGAATTTGGGTCCTTCTTCGCGCGTTTTTGTTGTTGATAGTCACCGGCCAATTCACTTGCACAATCTCAGTGATCAGAATGATCGTGTCGTTGTGCTCTATAGTCGGGATGATGAGGACCAGGCTGATTTGGCATACGATTTGAAAGTTCCGGTTTCAGCTTTGGCAAATGCAAGTGATTTGAACAGTGATGATGAAGGTGAAGATGACTCTGATGGTGACGAAGATGAGAATGAGAGTGAAAGTGAGGAGGAAGATGGTGGTGAGTCTCAGAAGAAAAGAAGGGTTTCAGATGAAAGTGAAAAAGACCCAGTTAAGCTTTTCAGGAAGCTGAAGAAAGAGTATTATTCTAATGGTACTTTTCATGGGAAGCCATCTGGGTGTTTGATGTATGATCTATGTCATTCCCTGAGGAAGAACACAAATGAATTGTTGTGGTTGGCTTGTGTGGCTCTAACAGACCAGTTTGTTCATGAAAGGTTAACAAATGAGCGATATCAAGCTGGGGTGATGGAGCTTGAGCAGCATGTTAATAGCTCTGGGAATCTGGATGTTGTTACTACGGTGACCCTCAAGGATGGAACTAAGGTTTTGGCTCCTGATTCTTCAAGAATTGCCTACGAAGACGAGCCAAAGCTAATGTTGCTACAAGAGTGGAACTTGTTTGATTCAATGCTGTGCTCCTCCTACATTGCAACTAAATTGAAGACATGGAGTGACAATGGGATGAAGAAGTTGATGCTTCTTCTTGCTCGAATGGGATTTCGACTTGAGGATTGCAAACAGAAGTTTCAGTATATGAATGTTGAGATCAAACGCAAAATGAAGGAAGAGTTTGAAGAGTTTTTACCTGAGTATGGACTAACCGATTTCTACTATCGAGGTTTTTGCTTACTACATGGGTATAGTTCAAGAATTTCTGCAGCAGATGTGGTGTATGGAGTAACAGCACTTCTAGAGTCATTTGTAGAATCTGATGGCTCATGTGCATCCAAGCAGTTTGGAGTGGCTTATGATGCATTGTCCTTGAGCAAGTTTGAAAAGTTGGAAACCGGAATGCAACATGCTATCAAGATACAAAGGGCAATTCTGAGACAAGGAAGTTCAGCTATAACCAAGAAGGGATCAATAAGAAGTGGGAGTAAATTCAGATGGGTGAAGCTTGAAGATTCCATAGACACTAAGCTGTTGGGTTATCCCCAGGCATTGACCAAATTTGGGCATTTTCTGATGGATGCTTTGCGGGAGAAAGGTGCAAAAATGAAGCCTTTGATATGTGTTTGCTATACTCAAGATCGAAGCAAGGTGTTGATTGTTGGAGTTTGTGGGAAGCCACGACTCGGGGCAGATAAAGGAAATGCATTTGGGATTGCTTTCAGAGATGCAGCTGAGGAGACTGGAGCTGATTTCTTTCACGAGCTATTCGAGTCATCATGGATAGTTTTGGATGCACTTGCTATAAATTCGTTCATGATAAGGCTAACTGAGAAGCTATGGTGAAGAACGTTGTTTATAAGCAGATTAAATGCTTATCCTTTTTCGTCTTTTTCTTCAATAGTTAAATGTTGTAACCCATTTAATTACTGTTACTATATGTGCAGTACAATTCAGAGGTAAACAATTCTGTTCTGATCATGTTTTTCTTTTATATTTTTTTTGGTGGTTCTGAAACTTGAGATGTCTATTGCTAGATTTCAGCAATCAGTTTTCCTTATCAGAAACAAATCCACAGTGGATCCAAAATGGCTTTTTTGAAGGGAAAAAAGCATCTACAATTGAGGTAAAGTTTCCATTCAAGTGACTTTTTTGCTTTCTGATTGTGTTAAGATGGTGGGGGGGAAAATTCACATTATGTATGCTAAGCCCTGTCAGCATAGAATCTTCTTTATCTCAGAATACCTGGGAGGAATAGATAAAAGCTCGAAATGAAAAGGCATTGTAGACACTGATATACACTCAAAAAGAGCCAGTAAATCAACACAATAGTAGGCTTAGCATTCAAATGCAACAGTTAACTTGAAGAAATACATTCATTATTTCAATGAAACACAATGATTGATATTTCAATTCCAAGATATCAACAGGTGCTCTGGACTAGCTCATTATTCAGACACCTCAAAGAATCAAGCGAAGAAAGCTATATATCAAGAAAGAAACAGCTTATGATGGCAAATGTTCCAAACAATTAATTGTGAACAAACATTGATTTCGGATCTCATGACATCAGTAGGACCCCAAAGCTGGATTTACTGATTGCACCTGAGGAAGGGACAGAGTGACAGCTACACTTGAATCAAACCAACCAAGCTTCTCCACGAGCCTCTTGATTAATTCACCTGCAGCATAAGAAATGCCTGAGGCCATAACTGCCATACTAATATAGTATAGTACAGTTTTGATATATGCGTAAAAGTTGGGTTTCTTCTGGATGTAAGCCTTCCCAATTGCAAGTATAACAATGCACAGAAGAGAAGCTGCTACGACTAGTACAAGCTTTAGGTCCTTGTCATCAGTCTGGCAAAATGAGAAGCCGTAAGTTACTAGAGGGATTAAGCCAAAAATGAGGAACGCTAGCACAACAACTGTTGCATGAAGAAAGAAATTGTCCGTCTGGCCCAGTAATTCTTTGTACCTAGACTCTTCATTTTTTGTTCCCTAAGCTGCAAGATTACACGTTAGTTCAAGACGCAAGAAAGAGAATTAACCTGAAAATGAAAAATTAGGAAAAGATTTTGCCTCACATAATATGAAGTATGAATGATTTAAAGAATAATGTCCTATATATATATATATATATATTTTATTTTTTTTTATCAACAACGGACTTTATTGAAGAATAGTGTCCTATATGCAACTCCATAGTTTGTTATTATGAGACAACAAGAAGATAAAGTTTAATATTTTGAATACCTTGTCTTGTCAATTGATGTAGCTCATTATTCACACACACCCACGAATCAGAATCCTCTCCTTGATATTCCTCCTTGACTTCCTACTTGTTAGGCCATTGGGCCCACTTTTAGGCTTAATTTTGATAATTCGAACCGTTCACATTTTAAGATTTGTTAAGTATATCATACTTGTAAAAAATCAAATTGATCGGATATTAGAAAGCATGTGTTCGGAAAACTCTTTATTAAATTTTTAAAAAAAATAGTTTTTAGTTCGATGATCCGAATACATGTTTTTTGATATCCGATCAATTTGATTTTTTATAGGTGATCAAGTTTAATATTTTGAATAACTTGTCTTGTCAATTGATGTAGCTCATTATTCACACACCCACGAATCAGAATCTTCTCCTTGGTATTCCTACTTGACTTCCTACTTGTTAGGCCATTGGGCCCGCTTTTAGGCTTAATTTTGATAATTCGAACCGTTCACATTTTAAGATTTGTTAAGTATATCATACTTGTAAAAAATCAAATTGATCGGATATTAGAAAGCATGTGTTCGGAAAACTCTTTATTAAATTTTTTAAAAAAATAGTTTTTAGTTCGATGATCTGAATACATGTTTTTTGATATCCGATCAATTTGATTTTTTATAGGTATGATATACACAACAAATCTTAAAATGTGAACGGTTCGGATTATCGAAATTGGGCCTAAAAGTGAGCCCAATGACCTAGCAAGTAGGAAGTCAAGTAGTAGAAACCTTAAGGAGAGAATCTTGATTCCTCACCTAAACAAGAGGAAAATTTTTTGTGCATACTTTGAAAGGAATAAAAAAAAGGAAAAAGAAAAAGATAGATTTTATTATGCTTGAAGTTGATAGAATGGATAATTGGCAGAAGAAACTTGTGATGATATAGAGAATAATGGTATTTTAACTACATTTTTTGTCTACACTTTATAAACATATATACATTAGACAGAGTTGAAACAAGGATGATTAGATGGAGTGATAAACAACTGACAAAAATAATATTTGTAGAGTTAAATAAGTACTTTATTTGTCATTAGATCTCAAGGTAATACCGGAACAGGCTAGCCGGCCAATGATTTAAACGAAAATACGGTCCCTAACAAAATAGAATGGTTAAATAGATTTTGTACAAGGTTTCTCAACAAATTTTGTTATTTTTCTCTGTTTGAGAAAGTTACATTTCTAACCATTACTCGTAACTTAATTTTGATGCTTAATCTTGTAGTGGAACTGGGAACTACATTGCATGTAGAAGCTAACATCAACTGTTGCAATGCTATTGAAAATTATGCTAATAGATAAGAAATATTAAATAGGCAAGAGATTACTCACATTAGGACCAATAATGAAAAGTCCACCAATCAGATTTGCCAATCCCATAGCTACAATGTTCACTGTGGCAACACAACACAAGATTGTGAGTAATATAAACTATTACCTCTAAATCAAATGTCAAACACTTCTATAAACAGCTTTAACCTCAATTATATCAAATCTATTAATCCTCCAATCTTAAGTTAAAGAATAGAAAAATGGTTATAATCTGCATGAGAATTTTTTTTTTTTTTGGGTAGGTAAGTCATAAGTTTTATACCAAAAAATAGATATTATAGTGAGGCTCATTACATGCCCAGAGGCAACACACCCTACAGGGAGAGAGAAAAAACATGCCTAGCATCTACACAAAATCTAACAAGCAGATTAATATATAAGGAGAAACCAAAAGTTAGGCCAAGCAACAATCAACGGACAAACTTACGATTTCATAGGATTCTTACAACTTGATTTCTTAGACTTGATAGAGAGGCTAACCTCTTGAGCAAGTTTAAGATTAGCCATTCTCTCAAGAAGCTTTTTATTGTTTTCCACTTTTGAAGATGGGTTTGTTCATGGAACTACGAATGTTCCATCTGAAAGGATTAAGAAACTCCTTTGGGATGATAAACTTTTGCAACTATCCTAGAAGTGATATGCTAATATTTATTTTTGGATCCAAAATTAGACTGTACACGGATGGTAAAAAAATTTATTGATAAATGTCATGCAAGTATATCCTAAAATATGTGTACATGTTATATTTAGTACAGTCTATAAACTGATAATCATTTATAAGCAGAGAAATATGTTAGTGTCAGTTTGGTTACCATACCATTAAAATGGAAATACATTATGCCACAAGAAACTTCCATACCTAGCAAAAACAAATGCATAAAAACTCATTCCTATTTCCTACTTTTGCATAACCAACCAAAAAGGAAAATGTGTGAAAACCTTACCTGTGTGGTGTCATCTGCAGCAGCTGCAGATGACACAACACTTAGGCTTGCCATTGATTCCATTAACCCACCATAAACAACGCTCTCTTTAGGATTTCCTATGTTTTAGAACCTTCTTCATCTAAAGTTATTATAGGTTGTTGCTCCCTGCTCCCTGCATGTATTGGACAACTATGTCAAAATTATTTACCAACGTGCTCTGCGTGAGTGTTAAAAATGCATTAGATTTAATAACAATCAGCTAGTAATTTTTTGTATCATTATGCTAATCATAAAAAACATTAATATATACGCATATATATATATATGTATATAGTCCAGGCCTTTAACCATTACCTACAGTCTAAAAGTTGAAAGTCAAAACTCAACTTTTTTCATATACAAGAAACTTGGGAAGAAGACCTTTCTCATAAATTTAATATGAATGAATCACCAATAACCCCATCTTCTGCTGGTGCTTAGTTGTGATTTTATCTTCCAAAAAAAATATAGAAGAAAATCTCCAGTAAGCTGCAGTCAGGTTAACCAAGCTCGGCGTATGATCTCCAAGTCAAAGAACTAGGCCTTAAAATTTCCAACCCAATGAATTTGGGACATGTTGCAGCCTAAGACCGTCTCATGTTAGTGTGTAATGAATGGCTAATCCATTTCTTAGTTTAAACTAATGAAATGCAAAAGTGGCATGCATGAAATGCAAAAGTAGATATAAAATAAAACTGAAATAGAATAGCACAGATGGAGGTTGTTAGTGGGAAATTAGAGTAGAATTAAAACATATATATACTTTCTGACTTTTCATCATCAGTAATCCCTGTCTCCAATTTGATGACCCTCTGATTTTGTGGAAAGTTTATCATCTGCACAAGTTTTTGCGTTCTATTCAGCATGCATGAAAAACACAACTGCCTAAAACCAATGATTTTATAACATCAACTGTTTAGCATCTACAACAAAACAATTTTTATGTTTAAGCCTACCTAATGAGGAGCTAATTCGTATTGCCATAAATTGATGAGAAATGTGAAAACCATGTGTATGCATACGTCATATATTATATGCACGAACACAGAGAGAGAGAAAGAGAGCCAACCTCCCTTTGTTAGAAAAGTAGTTGTTAGTAACAATTATCAGAAATTTTCTTCCTTACGAGCACTAGACTTGCCCATACTGTACCTAATTTATTGTGACGATATGTGAAGAACAATTCAAAGATAAATAAGAAATTCAGCTAGAGTTTTGTTTATAATTAGATTAAATGCTTCTTCTTTTTCGTCTTCTTCTTCAATAGTTAAATGTTGTAACCCATTTAATTATTGTTACTATATGTGCAGTAAAATTCAAAGGTAAACAATTCTGATCATGTTTTTCTTTTATATTTTTTTCTGGAGGTTCTGAAACTTGAGATGTCTATTTCAGCAATATGTTTTCCTTATCAGAAACAAATCCACAGTGGATCCAAAATGGCTTTTTTGAAGGGAAAAAAGCATCTACAATCGAGGTAAAGTTTCCATTCAAATGACTTTTTTGCTTTCTGATTGTGTTAAGATGGTGGGGAAAATTCACATTATGTATGCTAAGCCCTGTCAGCATAGAATTTTCTGTACCTCAGAATACCTGAGAGGAATAGATAAAAGCTCGAAATGAAAAGGGATTCTAGACACTGATATACACTCAAAAGAGCCAGGAAATCAACACAATAGTAGGCTTAGCATTCAAATGCAACAGTTAACTCGAAGAAATACATTCATTATTTCAATGAAACACAATGATTGATATTTCAATTCCAAGATATCAACAGGTGCTCTGGACTAGCTTATTATTCAGACACCTCAAAGAATCAAGCGAAGAAAGCTATAAATCAAGAAAGAAACAGCTTATGATGGCAAATGTTCCAAACAATTAGTTGTGGACAAACATTGATTTCGGATCTCATGACATCAGTAGGACCCCCAAGCTGGATTTACTGATTGCACCTGAGGAAGGGACAGAGTGACAGCTACACTTGAATCAAACCAACCAAGCTTCTCCACAAGCCTCTTGATTAATTCACCTGCAGCATAAGAAATGCCTGAGGCCATAACTGCCATACCAATATAGTACAGTACAGTTTTGATGTATGCGTAAAAGTTGGGTTTCTTCTGGATGTAAGCCTTCCCAATTGCAAGTATAGCAATGCACGGAAGAGAAGCTGCTGCGACTAGCACAAGCTTTAGGTCCTTGTCATCAGTCTGGCGAAATGAGAAGCCGTAAGTTACTGGAGGGATTAAGCCAAAAATGAGGAACGCTAGCACAGCAACCGTTGTATGAAGTAAGAAATTGTCCGTCTGGCCCAGTAATTCTTTGTACCTAGACTCTTCATTTTTTAGTTCCCTAAGCTGCAGGATTACATGTTAGTTCAAGACACAAGAAAGAGAATTAACCTGAAAATGAAAAATTAGGAAAAGATTTTGCCTCACATAATATGAAGTGTGAATGATTTGAAGAATAATGTCCTATATATATATATATATTTGATCAACAACAAAGGACTTTGTTGAAGAATAATGTCCTATATGCAACTCCATAGTTTGTTATTATGAGACAACAAGAAGATCAAGTTTAATATTCTGAATAAATTGTCTTGTCAATTGATGTAGCTTATTATTCACACACACCCAAACAAGAGGAAAAAATTTCATCCATACTTTGAAAGGAACAAAAATAAAAATAAAAATAAAAATAGAAAAAGATAGATTTTATTACACTTGAATGTCTTCTAAGTTGATAGAATGGATAATTGGCAGAAGAAACTAGTAATGATATAGAGAGTTAAGGTATTTTAATTACATTTTTTAACTACACTTTACAATATATTAGACAGAGTTTAAACAAGGATGATTAGATGGAATGATAAACAACTGACAAAAATAATATTTGTAGAGTTAATAAGTACTTTATTTGTCATAAAATGTTAAGGTAATACTGGAACAGGCTAGCCGGCCAATGAATTAAACAAAAATATGGTCCCTAACAAATTAGAATGGTTAAACAGATTTTGTGCAAGGTTTCTCAACATATTCCGTTATTTTTCTCTGTTTGAGAAAGATACATTTCTAACCATTACTTGTAACTTAATTTTGATGCTTAATCTTGTAGTGGAACTGGAAACTACATTGCAAGTAGAAGCTAACATTAACTGTTGCAATGATATTGATATTGAAAATTATGCTAATAGATAAGAAATATTAAATAGGCAAGAGATTACTCACATTAGGACCAAAAATGAAAAATCCACCAATCAGATTTGCCAATCCCATAGCTACAATGTTCACTGTGGCAACACGAGACAAGATTGTGAGTAATGTAAACTATTACCTCTAAATCAAATAAACACTTCTATAAACAGCTTTAACCTCAATTATATCAAATCTACTAATCCTCCAATCTTAAGTTCAAGAACAGAAAAATGGTTATAAAATCACTATAATCTGCATGAGAAACTTTTGCAACTATCCTAGAAGTGATATGCTAATATTTATTCATGGATCCAAAATTAGACTGTCATGGATGGTAAAACAATTTATTAATAAATGTCATGCTAGTAGATCCTAAAATATGTGTACATGTTATATTTAGTGCAGTCTATAAACTGATAACCATTTATACAGGTAAGCAGAGAAACATGTTAGTGCTAGTTTGGTTACCATACAATTAAAATGGAAATATATTATGCCATAAGAAACTTCCATACCTAGCAAAAAACAAATGTATAAAATCTCATTCCTATTTCCTACTTTTGCATAACCAACCAAAAAGGAAAATGTGTGAAAAACTTACTTGTGGTGGCATCTGCAGCAGCTGCAGATGACACAACACTTAGGCTTGTCATTGATTCCATTAACCCACCATAAACAACGCTCTTTAGGATTTCCAATGTTTTAGAACCTTCTTCATCTAAAGTTATTATAGGTTGTTGCTCCCTGCTCCCTGCATGTATTGGACAACTATGTCAAAATTATTTACCAACGTGCTCTGCGTGAGTGTTAAAAATGCATTAGATTTAATAACAATCAGCTAGTAATTTTTTGTATCATTATGCTAATCATAAAAAACATTAATATATACGCATATATATATATATGTATATAGTCCAGGCCTTTAACCATTACCTACAGTCTAAAAGTTGAAAGTCAAAACTCAACTTTTTTCATATACAAGAAACTTGGGAAGAAGACCTTTCTCATAAATTTAATATGAATGAATCACCAATAACCCCAATGAATCACCAATAACCCCCATCTTCTGCTGGTGCTTAGTTGTGATTTTATCTTCCAAAAAAAATATAGAAGAAAATCTCCAGTAAGCTGCAGTCAGGTTAACCAAGCTCGGCGTATGATCTCCAAGTCAAAGAACTAGGCCTTAAAATTTCAAACCCAATGAATTTGGGACATGTTGCAGCCTAAGACCGTCTCATGTTAGTGTGTAATGAATGGCTAATCCATTTCTTAGTTTAAACTAATGAAATGCAAAAGTAGATATAAAATAAAACTGAAACAGAATAGCACAGATGGAGGTTGCTAGTGGGAAATTAGTGTAGAATTAAAACATATATATACCTTTTGACTTTTCATCATCAGTAATCTCTCTGTCTCCAGTTTGATGACCCTCTGATTTTGTGCAAAGTTTATCATCTGCACAAGTTTTAGTGTTCTATTCAGCATGCATGAAAAACACAACTGCCTAAAACCAATGATTCCATAACATCAACTGTTTAGCATCTACAACAAAACAATTTTTATGTTTAAGCCTACCTAATGAGGGGCTAATTCGTATTGCCATAAATTGATGAGAAATGTGGAAAACATGTGTATGTATACGTCATATATTATATGCACGAACACAGAGAAAGAGAGAGAGAGAGAGAGAGCCAACCTCCCTTTGTTAGAAAAGTAGTTGTTAGTAACAATTATCAGAAATTTTCTTCCTTAAGAGCACTAGACTTGTAATTTAGGTTTTAATTGCATCACCTGATCCCTCTTCTATGTTGATTGCAAGATCTCCAAGACCTCCAGGTGGTACAACTCTGTTGGTTGAAGGAGCAGTTTCGAACACTGCTGTACCAGGTGACACAGATTCTTGTGATGGTGTTTTAGTTTCTGCATAACCATAACAAGCAAATAGGCCAAATCATTTGGTTGTCTCTAACTTCTGTATACTCCTAAAGGTATGATTCCAAATCATTTTTCCATTAAAATGAAAAGTTTCCTAGTATTTTAAATACCCTGCTTATCTTGACAATGACACCCCCCCTCTGGATACACGTAGCACTCACCCAGCTAGCCTAAAATAGTATGAAATGATAAATCAGAGACTCCTGTTAACCCAAAAGAGCATACTGGAAGAAGGAAAGCACAAATATACAAGGACATTTATCCATTGTCTGAAGTAACATTTTACGCGTCTAGAAATTTTGAATGCGAGAGATAAAGAGTAATTAACTAGTTGCAACAAATAGTGGAAGTAGATGCTGGAAACTAATTGATTGTACTCATTATTGCTAGTTAAAAGTTCTGAAAGAGTTGAATATAAATAAAGGGCCGCAGATGATATTTGGTGTATTTATATCCATATTTTATAGTGGATTGGTATATTTGGAGCTCTAATTTGTGAGCTCTAATGTGTATGTGGGGTCCATCTGATGTGATGATTTGGTTTTTTTTTTTTTTTTTTTTTTGATTTTCCACCTCACTAGAGCTCTAGTTTTAGAGGGATGTATTATTGTTGTATAGTCATTTATATGTAGTATTTTAAGTCAAACGGGATTAGAGTATGCACAATGGCAAATATTTTTGGAGCATACATTGGGCCTTGCTTTGGACCAGATAAGTAAGTGAGTTCATGCTAAATACGAGATCTTAACTTTCTTTTATTTTTGGACCCATAATGGGATTAGTGATTTTTAGATACACAATAGAACCCCCCTACTCTCATCCCATACATACAATAACTATGGCTAGCCTACGAAGTCATATTAGTACTGATGATAACAAAAGGGGAACATAGGGTAGTTCACCTCTCTCTCTCTCTCTCTGTTCTATATGAAAATTCAAATTCTCTTTTCAGATTGCAGTAGACAACTCAAAGCTTCATCATCTCAGTCAGCAGCTATGACTGACTCTTCAAGTACACCAGTATGTATGGCTCATATTAGATTAGTCATGCCATGAACTGAAGCATGTTTAAATCTATTATAGATGAAATTAGTCTAACATATGTTACCTTCTTGACCAATCACCGCGCTCGCTGTCTCATATGTGACACAACTGGAATAATTTCCAGCTATGGCAGATGTTGGCTGAGGATTTTGTTTGCTCGTAGAAGCCCGGAATAAATCAAAAAACCTCCCTGCTTAACAAATTTTTAACGTTAATCAACATTGTAGTCCAGAATGAACGCTAGCACCACAGATTAGTCAAGGAATGAAGAAAATGATTGTGAGAAAGGATAAAATTTCAAGTTTGAACAGTATGTAATAGTTAGAATATTTGTGTAGTTCTTAGTTATGTAAAATTCCTTGGGCTTCTTCTGTTTGAATTAACACAAGTGGAAAGGAAAATGTTTTTCCACTTTCCTAGTCACAGATCAGAAAATTTCTAGTTTGGCAAAACCAACCAAAAGAATTCAATTTTCTTTGGAGGATTGCCATTAGATAAAAAAATTAAGTTGAGGAAAGAGGATTTCCACTTTCCTAGTCAGAGATCATAAGAGTGAAGTTGCAAATGACATACCTTGCTGCTGATCAATCTTCACCATTTTCCCCTTGCGATCATCTGTGAAAATGGAGGAAAGATTTTCATCCAGTACAGATGACTTCTCACGTAAACTTTGTTCGTTTGTGATCCCATTTTGTCTTCGAAAAATCCCTGAATAAATTAACACCATTTCCCTACTTAATTCAAGCATTCAAGTGGGAAATTTCATTCATATTCATTCGTTAGAAATCAAAATGTCACTTCGTTTCATTATTTTCTCTCCGAAAACACGAAAAATAAAAACTGAATAAAACAAAACGCAACCAAAACCAAGTAGGAAGGCAGGGGAGAAGTTGTACCTTTGGGAATGAAAATGCTGAAGCAGGAGAAGCATTTAAGCAGATCAAATGGCTTAGGAGGAGCAGTACTAGTCCTTACCTTTTTACAAAGAACAACTTTGGTAATGCAAGAATTACATTCAGGACAGTGCACACTGTGCTGATCTAACTTCTCTACAGCCCTCTCAAATTCAAATTCTATTTCTTCATCGCTTTCTTTATGATTGAGTCTGTTAATGTTGACAAGTTCTTTTGTTCCTTCACTTAACAGTTTGAAAAGCATGTATTCTTCTTCACATGAAATTTCATGCTTCACAGTTTCCTCATCTTGATGTGTAATGACACTTCTCAGGATCTTTTGGATGTCTATTTTTTTAAGTTTAACATCCAATTCTTCTTCTTCTCTGGTACTCCCACTAGCCTTGGAAAGAGAGGAATCCACTGTAGTATAATAAGTTTCAGAAGATCTTATTTCAGTGGGCTCAGTACCTGCTGCAACCATGAAGCACATGTCCAGTGTACTAACTAAAATTTACAACCCAAAAAAAAAAAAAAAAACAAAAACAAAAACAAAAACAAAAATTGAATTATAACATAATTTTCTATTGGCATAAAACAAAAATTAAAACATACAAATAGACATTTTTTTGGGTAAATTACAATACAACTCTTGAAATTTGCTTAAAATATATATTACTCCCATATGGTTTTGAAAATTATAAATCTTTGTTGTCATGATTTGTCATTTAATAGAGTTGACAAAAAAAAATGAAATTAGTTGTCTTTCGATACAACAATGAAATAACTAGAAGTATTAATTGAAATATATTGTTGACATCTTTAAAAATTGTTAATGAACTTAATGGTTGATTAATAAAGAGGTTATTTGTTGTATGGTTATAAATTTTAAGGGACATGATGTAATTTTTAAAATTATAAGGGCAATTAATATTTTAAATAAACTTTAGAGAGTGTATTTGTAATTTATCCAATATATTAAGTGTAACAAACTAGATTATCCGTACACATGTATGGAAAGATAAAGAGACCTATTATATGTCACCATTTTATAAAATTATACTCATGATTAGCTCCCTTATTTGAAAATAATTACTAAGCAATAAATAAAAACAAATTCTTGCTACATAATCTGATTATGTAAATGGTGAAAAGAACTGGTGAATATATAGGTTATGTTTGATGTTTTTTTTTTTTTTTGGTTAAAAGTTGATAATCGAAGTGAAAATTCAAAACAATTCTTTATCTGCTACTTAATAATCAGTTTTTTTTCACTTATATACCTTATAAAAAATGTTACGTATAGTCTTACTTCTGCCTCATAACTTATATGCATAAACTGAACCAAATACTAACACACAAAAAAATAAATTATAGACAGCTCCATAAACTGCATGAAACAGCACACATAGTAGCCATACCTCCAATCTCTTCCATGTTCTCCGGTACACTTCCATTGCCCTTTTCTTTATCACGCTCGTCAATACTATTACCATTACCATTACCATTACCATTGGCAGCAGTAATAGTCTGATGCTGAGGCTGCCGCTGCCGCCATTGCAAACAGACTTCCTCCACCACCTCCCATATCTTCACCACCACTGCTTTCATCTCCACCAGCACCTCTTACGTTTCTTGAACCTGAGTTGCAGTAACTAGCTCATTTCTTGCATTGCTTTTATAACCAAAACTTTCAAAGCAGTGATTAATGGGAAAATAATTAACAAAGACTTTAAAGGGCTGTTGTTTAAGCATATGTGAATATGCATTGTGATTAACAAATAAAAATAAATATGATAATCAATCATCCATGTGAATGTGAGTTGTTGTGCTTCAGTTGTGTTGATAATTAATTAATTAATTAACTAATCAAATTTACAAACCGTTGTGTTAGGGATCTTCTCTAACCAAAATCTCTCCCTTGTGCAGTGCATTTCTAGTGGCGGCGCCACTATATGTTTCGGAGTATTCACTAGAATAACTGGAATAAATAAGTAAATTATTAAAGTACACTAATAATTAGATATATTTTGGATAACATTTTACTTTTATAAATTTTTGTGAACGAACCATTTATCACCTCTCCGAAAAAAAATAAAAATAAAAATTGGGCACACCTTGATGCCACTTTGTTACTTTGAAATTTATTTTGAACATCATAAATCGTACCTCCATAGATTACGATTTTTAAATGTGATCTTCTCTTAATTTTTGTGGTGGTGATTTGATTTCGAACCCACCTGATTAAAATTTTGAATACCGCACTCCATATATCTTATTAGGAGACTAAGGCATGATTTGGGAAGCTAGTTAAAAGTTAACTTCTTATTTATTTTGAGGTAAATCACCTCTCATATTTTTTACACTCAAAAAGATAAGAAAGTAAAAAAAACAAAAAAATCAACTTTTTACTAACTTTCCAAATCACCCATAGATTAAAAGTTAGAATTTGTCCACTTACAACTCCGTTGTATTTTGTTTTAATTATTTTTTGCGTTTTGTAAGTTTGTGTTGTGTTTATGGCTGTGTGTTGGACCTTCACATAATTTGATATCATTTCTCATAATATTTGTAATTTATCTTCTATAATTAACAAAAAGAAAAATTACTGAAAAGAATTCCTAGAATTATTTGCTACTGCATGATATGGTAAGAATTTCATAACATTAGAATTTTGAAGTAAAATCATGTGACCAAAAATGATTAAATGAGAAATATGAATTTTTTTAAACAGAAGATCTCGTACCTACCCAAGTGCTGTAAAACCTCTACTTCTTGATGTAGGAAAAAATAATAAAAATTCACTAAATTTTATTATTCACTAAATTCAAACCGTTGAATTCATTTGTATTTATTTATTTTATATGTTAGATAAGATTACTCCTCGGTGTAAGTAAGGCAATAATTGGAGATGGTCGTTGGATTGGCTTCCAGTGTTCACATATGTTTCTCCAAATCAATGAATATAATAAATAAATATTTAGAGGGAGTTGACATTTAATAAATAAAGAATTTTTTTAGGATCCATGGTATTAAAATTTTATAGAATAAATGATATCTAATATTTTCATAATGTTTAAAATTCCTTAACATTGATTCAGAGAAATTCTCTCTAGACTTTCCAGAGAAATTCTAGAAATTTCTTTGGACTTCTCTAGAGAAATTCTGGAAGATCTTTCATACAACAACCAATCCAATATTAAGTGATTCACTTCTTAGAGAAATTCTCTTCACAGAGAAATTCTGGGAAATCTTTTATACAACAACCAATCCAATATTGAGTGGTTTATTTTCCAGAGAAATTCTCTCCAGAGAAATTTTTCTAGAATTTCCAGAGAAATTTTTCCTACAGAATTTCTCTGAATCCCAGTTTAGAGATTTTCTCTGAATATCGCAAGAATTTCTCAGCAACCACAACATTGTTTGGTTGATGAAAAATGGAGTACACAGACAACCTACCTCCTATGGATTTGATGCAAACAGACAACGTCTTCCTTCATACATTGTGCTTCATCCATTCTCGCCTCATGATCGAATACCGACCTTCCACGCCCGTCAAGCCCATCACAAGTGAGAGTTGGTCTTCGGCAAGACAAATCGGTAGAGAGAGACTAGAGAGAGAAAGAGAAAACTCTAGTTCATGGATGAATACGATGAGCTCCAAGTCACTGAGCTCAAACAAAAGGTTCATCGATACGATCTTTTAAACAAGAGGTTCGTTGAAGGCAGTAGTGGAGAGGTAGAGACGATGAAAGAAGCAGTGGCAGGATAAGGGAGAGAGGAGAAAATGACTGAGAAGCAGAGGCCAAGATGAGAGTGCAGAGATGAGAGAGAGAGAGAGAGAGGAAAGAGAAGCATCGACAGAGATGAGAGAGAAAATGAGAATATGTGAGACATATGAGATGGATGAAAGACCTTAGCCATCACAAAATAATCCCATTACTAAAAATGGATGAGAGATTTTAGACTAATTTTTTCTAATAAATATTTAAATAATTTTCATGTGAAACTTGCATTCACATTTTCGGATAATTATTCAGTAATTCTAAAATATAGATATGTGGTATTGTATAGTATTGTGATTGATGAAAAATGTGGATAGGTGAGATATTGTGTTAGGCAATTGAAGAATATGAGGGGACAGAATAAATTGTGATTGATTAGGAGTACGAACATATAATACTCCGAAAATAGCTTATAATTTCCCCACATTTCTCGTCACTCCCTCTAATTATGATGACATCATGTCATGACGTGGGCATTATACCTGCCGACCTTAGTTTTTGAGAAAATAACAATTAAGAGGAAGTTTAAAATAAATAAATAATTAATTAATTTTACACATATTAACAATTTTAATAAAAATACAAATAGTTAAATGTGATTGGTTATCAAAAAAATAATAATATTTAAACCTTCAATGATATTTGGATATAGATATTTATAGTAAGATTTTTTTTTGAACTTAGATATTTTTAGTAAGATATTAAGTAGATATAATATTGTTCTTTAAAAAAAGAAGAAGAAATATTTCATTTAAGTGGATGTTTGGAAAACTATTTTCAAATTAATGATAAACTTTACATACATTAAAAAGTAAACTTATAAACTTTTTTATTATTTTGTAATTTATTTTCGATTAGTCCACTGACATGTGATTTTTCCTAAAAAAAATTCAAAACATTGACAAAATTTATAAATTTTAATAATTAAAATGATAAACTTTTTCATCAATCTATAATTATTTTGAAAAGGTTTCACTAATGTATCATTTTTTCAAAATTATTTAGTGATCTAAGAACGTCACGTGATAATGTCTCTCATCAATCACTATATCCGTTATTATTCTCCCATAACTCAATACAAAATCATGATCTCATTTCCATAACACACATGAACCACCATGTAACTATGCCCTGAGACTACCAAATAATTTCTCGGCTTTGGGTAGTTTGCTCCTCCCAATAATCGATTAGTCCATGTAGAATGGAGGCATGTGTTTAATGCTTTTCAATTTTGATCCTTTTTTTCACATCAATGAAGAAAACATAAAAAATGATAATATAATTTTTTTTTTCACATTTTCTCTCATGCTTAAATAAGTTTTATTTTTTTTTTGGAAAAAAGTCAGATATTTAAAGGAAAATAAAGGAATAAACCATATATAAAAGCAAATAGTTCTTTCTCTCACTAAATTCATGAACATAGAATAAAAAAAATAAAGATAAAAAAATAAAAAAAGAAGAAATTCAGGATTCATATGACCAGTTATGAACTTATCAATATCACTTGGTCAATCTGGAGTTTGAAATGAGATTAATAAGCTCACATTTCTTTTCTTTTCTTTTTAATTTTTTTACTTTTTCACATAATCTAATTCTGGAGGAATCTAAAATGGAAAAATAAAAAAATAGTAAATATACAAACAAAAAGAGGGGACTTTTAAGTAAATATACAAACAAACACAAACAATTATTTTTGTCTTTGCACTTTTTTTTTTCCGTCTAAATATTATGTCAAGTTCTTGTACAAGTAAATAGGATCAAAACAGGAAAAAAATCATTCAAGGATGAGCAATTGAGAGCAAGGTTTTAAAAATTGAACCGGATCGGCCGGTTCTATCGGTTGAACTATCAACTGGTCAGGGTTTCGGTTCGGATACATTTACTAAACCGTTCAAAGTGAAAAATCGGCTTATTTTGAAAGAACCGGGAAAAATCGACAGTTGAACCGCCGAACCGATCAACCCGATAACGGATCATCAGGTCAATAAAATCAAATTTTTGTTTTTTTTTTAATTCTTTATTTCTTTTCTTTCTTTCTTTCTTATTTTATATATATATATATATATATAAGAAAATTTTAATTGAAAACTCTCTTTCAAAAGTCTCCTCTTGTGAGAAATCTCATTGAGAGCTTGAAATTATTGTGAAAGCCTCTACTTATTTATAAGAAAAAAAAACTCAAAAAATTCATATGAAATTCAATCAAATTTATTAGAGAAAAACATAAAATTTTGATATCTCTCTAAAATTTTTACTCCTCTTTCAACCAAATTATTTAACTTAAAATCATATAGAGAGAATATTGAATATTTAATTTCTTCTTCCAAATTAAAATTAATAATATTTTAAAATATATTTTTATATTTTTTAGTAAAAAAAATAATAGGAGAAATATTTAAAATTATTTAATTTTTTGATTTATAATTTTATTACTTATATTTTATATTTATAACGTCAAAATTCGATTCCAGTTCAACCAGATAATTAAACCGATAACCCATCCATCCAATCATTTTATCGATTCCCTCATCAGCCCAATTTTTAAAACATTGACTGAGAGTCCACAAAAAGCTTCTATTCCATTCCCATCTCATAAAAGATCAATTCGGTCTTCAAAAAGTGTTTTTCGACTCTGTTTTCCCTTTTTTTTAATCTTCAGTAATTTTTATTATTTTTTAATTTTATTTTTCCCTTTTTAAATGCACATAAAAAATAAAAGTACAATATATGTAAAGAATTAGGGAAAAAATCTCACTAAAGACCAAAAAAAATATGTAGATGTGCTGAAAAAAATATTCAAAAATTAAACCACACAACCCAAAAATCTAGGCTTAAAACATCTTACAAAAACATTTTTCGTTAAAGCTAAAGAAACACCATAATATGTGCTTTAGGTGTATAGGTATTTGGACATAACAAACACCATAATCTGTGCTTTAGGTGTGTAGGTATTTGGACATAACAGCAAACTAAAATAACAACTAGATATTTAAGCCAACTAAATCCCCCACTGACCAAAAGATTTGTTTTCAAACCAAAACACAATGCCAATAGGAACTCAAAAACTTAAGTCTGGAGCCTCCCAAAATCTCACTTTGCAATCCCAAAGATAAAACACATGGCTTGGAAGACTATCCTAAACCATTGTTTCAATTCCCAAGCAACGTTGCGCAAAGCCAGCCTCTATCGACCTTCCTGCTTGACACCAAAAAACAAGAACTTGAGCTTACAAGTAGCAAAACACAAAATACAATTCCACTTCCACATAGCAAAAACATATTAAAATGTCTCAAATCTGCTGGAACAAGAAAAACATGTAGTGCTAAGCCAATAATGCACTTCTCAATCTTGGCTAAAGCTGACAAAAACGATCCCCAGGTTCTATATATTGCTTATACAAATAAAATTTTCAACAAAAGTATCATGATACCCTATTGAATCTGTTTCAAGGAAACATCAAAGATAAATTATAGGTTCCACACCACTTGCCCTTTAAATGGCAAAAAGCTGGAATGGGTCATCTTTTTGTTTTTTGGTTTCATTTTTTTTTTTTAAAAGATTACAAGCATGGATTATTCATAATCACAAGGTTCCATAAATTGGCCAATATTTTTTAAATATAAGAGTTAATTTTGATTGGTACTTTTGAAGTCATATCATGGCTTATATTCCCCACTATTAGACATTTTTCTTGTTATGTTCCACAAACTTCATATGAAGTCCTACACATTAATCTGTTGAAAAATTCTCTCTATCTCATCACATCAAAATACCTTTCAAAATGAGATTTTCATACTCCCCACCTGAACACACGAATCATTATTTAAATGGATTATGGAAACAAAATATCAACACAAACAAATAAATAAATATCAAGTACGCACCTAGTTCATTCAATTGGTTGCAGGAAGGTAGATCCTAATGGTATCTTTGAAGGTGATTTTTCTCCGACAGGTGGGGCATTTACCCTGAGCAGCTATTGCAGTCTTAATGCATGACTTACAGAAAATATGACCACACTTAGTTGACATCTCCTCAACTAATGGGCCTATGCATACTGGACAGCTGAAGGTGGGCTCCTTTGGTGGTAGTGGCGGCGGTGGCGGGGATGGTTCCACGCTCTTAGCATTCTTTCTCTGCCATTGGCATATAAAGAAAATCTCAATGACAAACTCAAAAACCACTACTGTCAATGCACATGAAATAGCTTTTAGGTCATCCTTAGATCATGAATTTGGGTACCTTTCCAAATCTCTACTAAATTCATGATCTAAATATAGCCTTAGTGAATTGCTTCATCAATCAAAGGGGGGGAAAAACAATGAAATAAATAAATAACTTTTACACAACATCATTCAAAGTATAACATGTCCAAAATTATTTTTAAGAAATCCATGCCGTATGCAGCACTGAGAAAACTCCTCAATTCAGATGTAGAAAGGCTGAAAATGAAGACGCAAGTTATACACCAAAGGTGAAGCATCAACTGCAACAACCGAAGGTCTTTTATCCATGCATCATGAGCCGTCAAGTCTAAATTGGTCTGGTGCAACATGAGTACCAGAGCAAGCAAGCCTGGTAGAGTAGGGTTGATATTGTTTTTTGAGTCCCATGATATTGACTGAGTATCCACATTGGGTGTCAGCCATTTATTTAGAACTCCAACAGGTTTTGTCTGTGCATCTTGGAGACAAAGAAGAGTTTCGACTATTCAAAAATTTCTTCTTCTGTACACTAGTTAGAGCTCAAGTGTATTTGTCAACTGGGGATGCTTCACTTGTAATGAAGTCCACCAACAAAAAAGCAGAGTTAAAAAGTAAATGAGAGAACTGTAGTGAACTAAAATATATTCCCAATCTTAATGCCCCATTCAGTAAAAGGGATGAAACTTACAAAGGAAAGGTTGGACAGATGGAGAAGCTTGCCCAATAGAATGGGAAAAGTCTTTTCTTGCAAGAAGTCCAAAATACAAGAGAAAACCTCCTGTGAAGCTACAATATGAAATGTTCCATCTAGTAAAACCAACAAAAAGTTGAGAGGAATGAAGGTCAAAGGCATAAAAAGGCTACCCCTAAGGGTGTGTGTTTGGATCAAGGATTTTAGGAGGGATTTGTGGAGGGAAAGGAAATACGAAAGGAAAAGTGATTGAAATATAAGTTACATTTTGTTAAGTTTTCTCATTCTTTTTCCTTTCCATTTACAATTCACTCTTCAAATCCTTGATTCAAACACGATCTTCCCCTCTGCGCCCTTTTAGTCTTTACCATGCTATTTACCCTTGCGAAAATAATGCAGAGCTGTTGTATGCTTGTATTAGAAGGCAAATGTGTAGAGGATCTATTTTTTTCCTCTTTACTATCCACTTTTATGCAAAAAAAAATTACAGGCCCAGAGGGAAACTCTCCCCTCCTCTTTGCCTTTCCCTTTACCTTTCCTTTCTAACAAAAGGATTTAAACCCTCTGCATCCTCACTTTTCATTCTCCTCCTCTTATACTCTCCCTTCATTCATCCCCCCTCCCAAAAAACATGAGACGCATTCCCTGCTAGGCAATAGGTGCACCAAACACACCCCATAGCCATAAATATGCTAGCTATATGGGAACTACCATTTGACATGCCTTAATGTGTCAAAAGTGGTATGCCTCAATGAAAAATTACCACTATATATAAATAAATAAAAATCAGTCAAAAAGACACATAACAACAAAAATAAGAAAATAAACAAAAAAATTTCAACAAAATGGTAAACCAATCTAGAAGACTAGAATGTAACTTTAAGATGCACAATTGCACATTATGTGCACATAACAAAATCTCAAATGTTATCACTTACCCTACAGTTGGTATTAACTGCCAAATTTATTTAATGGTAATTTGTGATTGTTTGGTTTAGAGAGAGAAATCTTATCCTTATTCTTTGCCTAATAAACATCAGTAAATAGAGCATACTCAGTCAGTTGTCACAGAAAAAGGAAAAAACAATTAACACAATTTCATTTTCAACAAATTGATAAACCAATCTAGGACACAGAATTTCAGGTCAAAATATATATCATGTGTGGCATAAAGAAATTCAATTATTACCATATTGTTACCCCCCTCCAAATTTATGCATAGATCACAATTTATGATTGCTTGGTTTGTAGAAACTCGCCTACGCTTGTTGCGACTATTGGAAGCAACACCCAATGTCCTTTCTTCTGCAAAGATTAGCCCAAATCAGTATGCGATTTAGAGGAAGAGGAAAAGAAATAAAGCTAATAATGGGAATTACTTGAAAGACACATCATGACGTCTGCTAATTAAATCAATCAAATGAATGAAAAATAGCAATAACCCATTTTACCGCAAATACCACAAAGCCAACAATTATTTCTTATCAAATATCAAGCAAACCAGTTATGTAACACGATTATGTTACATGGACACATTGGCTTCCTAGAGCACGATTATGTTACGACGGACACATTGGCTTACCCCTTCCCCACAAGACAGGGTTTAGATGCGGCTACTCACATAGGAGAGACAGACAGACAGATAGATAGATAGATAGATATAGAGAGAGCATTACATTCACCTGTCACATCTTCTGTAGTCAGAATTGGAGCACTTCTGACTCGGGGAGGTAGCCATGGCTGCAACATAGATCTAGGTTTTGATGAATTTCCTCAAATAAGAAAAACACAGGAATCTTGAACAGTGTTTTAAAAGGCACGCCTGAGCCCGAGGCACAATGAGGCGCAGCCTTGCGCTTCAAACAGGTCGAGGCGAGGTGCAATACGCAAGGCCAAGCTTAGGCGCTGAGGCGAGGGCTTTTTTTTCGAGGCGCTGAGGCGAGGGCTTTTTTTTCAAGGCGCGAGGCGTGGACTTCATGGGCTTTACTTATTTTTCTACTCCAACTATTGATTAAGTGCTTTTTTGTGCGCATACCCATAGATAGGGAATCAAAACTTCAATATAAAATGACTAAACGTGGTCAAAAGAGAACAGAAAGTGATAAAAGATTGAATGTTATATTTCATATCTTTTGTTGGATATTATATTTCTAATTTGTAGAAGACTGAATGTTATATTTAAAAATTATCTGAAATGGGTATGATTTTTGGAATTATATATATATATATTTGTTATGTAAACAGTTTGCTTATTTTCTAATTTTGTTTTTCTTCTACTACTTGCGCTTCGTTTTGGTGAGGCGTGCGCCTAGGGCCTCGCGCTTAGGCTATAGGAGACCTTATTGCCTCGGTGCGCCTAGAGCCTTTTAAAACATTGATCTCGAGCACAGTGTCTACTTTTAAACCCACAAATGGTCCCCACTTTTTTCCAATATTCATAATAAGCCCAAACAATATTTTTTAGAGCAAACTTCACTTTGCCCCCTTGTAATTTGACCCATGTGCACATAACCCTCCATCATTTGAAAATAAGCACCTAAGCGCACAGACACGACACAAAAATGCAAACACCCAAATTTTCAAAAAAAATGCAAGACACGATACATTGGGAACCCGTGCAAAACACATAATTTTATAGATTTATTATATGCCATATTTTTAAATATTTTATACTTCTTTTGTCAAATATTTAGGTTCATCAAATTCATCAACCTTAGTATGCTATTTTAGTAAAAAAACATTAAAATATTTAGCAAGTCCGACACGTGTCTAGCGCACGTCCGTATCTGACACCTGTCACATCTTCTATAGTCAGTGTTGGAGCATGTCCACCTTGGAGACAAAGCCATGGCTACAACATAGATCTAGGTTTTTGATGAATTCTCTATTTCTCTTTATACATTAAATTTTCTACATGGTATCAGAGCAAGGTTAAGATCTTAGTATTTCTCGCTTCACCGGCGGGCGGCAACCTCGCCTTGGCCGCCCGCCGGATCTCAACCTATTACTTTAAACCCTACAAATGGTCCCTACTTTTTTTCAATATTCATAATAAGCCCAAACAATATTTGCTAGAGCAAATTTCACTTTGCACCCTCATAGTTTGACCCATGTGCATATAGCTCTCTATCATTTGAAAATAAGCACCTACAGGACACAAAAACACAAACAAGCAAAATTTCAAAAAATGTAGGACACAACATGTTAGGGACACGTGCAAAATATAATTTTATATATTTATTTGCGTCATATTTCTCAGTATGCTATTTTAGTAAAAAATAAATAAAATATTTGGCATGTCCCCAAGTGTCCGGCACGTGTCCTTGTCCAACACTTGTAGGTGGCTTCCGAAGAGATGTTTGTGCTTCATGGATAATCACATAATCTCCACGTAGTTAGTGGACTAAAGTGCACCATCAGGCTCATTAACAGCCTAAGCAAAAAGATTAAAGTACCCTAGTACATAAATAACTACATTTTGCAAACCATGGACATTATCATCATAATAACCCCATGTGCTTTACTCCATAATGTGCAGTTTACCTTAGCATTTGGAAATGAGCACATAACCCCCTTATGTCTTGGCACACATTTCACACTTTCTATTAACTTGGACTGATGTCTTGCGGTACATTTCAATTCACAAACCACAAAGGGTAAATTTACCCAATTTTCTTATCTAATTTTGATTCATATATTTCTTTGAATTAGCTTTATTCCACATTGGCTAAATTTAACTTCTAAAATGCCCTTAAACTATTCTTAGTTTGGGTCTGTCTGATGTCTGCACACAGCTACACCTGATACTCATGCCCAAGTCCATGAAACATAATTTCCACAACCAAGCCCTAACTCAAAATCAAATAATGCCCTAGTCTCCCCAAAAAATGACACCATGATGGCAGTCTCTACTCAGCCAGAAGGCAGTGCAATGAGTTCAAAATTATAGGAATCTGTAGATATGTCCACACTAAATGCTCATTAACCATCTACCTTACAAAACCACCAACTTTTTTTTTGCATTAAAGAGCAATAAGGACCCCAAAGTGAACTGTTTTATCAAGGTCAGAGTTGGCAACATGTGTCCATTATGCTCAATATTAGTATATGTTGTAGAATGAACAGCAAAAGCAAAATTTATATTGCCTTCTTTCAAGATAAGACCAAAGTCGTATCATTTTTACATTTTCCTTTGAACTGGGAATCAATCCTAATGGGATGCCCAGTTTGTAAACTTAATTTTTTTCATTGGAAGTATTTGATCAAGTAGGTGCCTCTTTATCTAGAAAGGTCATCTACCCAAGAAATAAGAGACTCGGGTGGCCAGCTTAAAACTGACATGAGATTTAAAATTTTCAATATCAATCTAAGGTTGAAAATGCACATTATTTCATCCAATGAGTTAAAAAGCCTATCCAAAATAAAATGAAGCTTCTTCAATATGAGCTCCAAAAAGCATGAAGAAAATCAACAACATGATGATATAGGTTATGCACATCATAACATCATGAGAGGGAGAATTATATGACAACCAACACACAAAAGCACACACAGACTGTACACAAAAACAAGAATTACCTGAATCTACATCAACTACAACAGTATTTCCACGATTTCTTCCTCTCCCAGAATTTATTTTAGCCTGACATGAGATTGAAAAAAATAAAAATAAAAATAAATAAGTAAATAAAAAGATGAGTAAGGCCTTATTTAACCCGTACAAAAATATTGACAAAATAATACAAAGAGAATTTTAGAAAATAAAAATAAGCGTACTTCTGCAAAAGCCGTACGGGAGGATATAACAACATCATCATCAAATGCCTCAACATCAATTGGTGCAGGCAGTACAGATGGTCCTTGTTGGCCAAATTGCACATCTTGAGAGTTGGCTTGAGCCGAAGTGCCCTCCTGATCCAGGTTCTCACTAGGTGGTACATTGAGGTCCACATCTAGTGCCATCTTCCTCCTCCTTGTGTTCCTCACATATCCTCTTAGAGGAGGTCCACTCGACCCTCTACTGCTCATGCTATACTTAAAGTGTTTTTTGTTCCAAGACTCACACTCAACAAGCCTGATTATGCAAAAGGGAACTCCTTCATTAGCAATACATACAATATTCAGTCTTGGCTTTAAAAAAATGAATTCACTCCCCATTTGGTGCGAATGTCGTCACGTTTTTTTTTCGCTTTCAAAAATGCCCTCCACATCGAATAATTGCCACATTTTTTATGAATTTTTCTCATTCATCAATCCACCCAAACTTAATGTTTCCCTCATTCACGAAATTGCCCAAAAATTTAAATGTAAAATTGCAAGCACATTGTGTTTTACACCCACCGCTAGTGTATATATCAAATTTCTAGAGAAAAAAATAGGTTGCATTTGGTTCTCTTTTGGAATTATAATTCCAATCAAAAAAAATTCAAAACTCTTTTCAAAATTCATAAGCAAACACACAACTCAAAACTCTTTTCAAAATTCTATTTAAAAAAAAAAAATCAAAATTTTTTATTTGTTTTTTAAAATTATTTTTAGAATTATGATTTAAGTGTGAAGTTGAGTTTTGAAAAAAGAAAAATTATTTGGTTATGAGTTTTGAAAAGAGTTTTGAATTATATTTTGAGTTTTGAGTTGTATTTTGAAATTTTTTGAATTTATTATTTTTAAATATGTAACAAATTTCTTAATTTTAGTTCTTAGAGTAAATATTTCATATTTTAAATATTTATTTATTTATTTTAATGTGCACTATATTTCATACATTTGTGTGCTGTATTTTTTAAAAACATTTTAAATATTAAAAATTTTAATTTTTTTGCTATGTGTTTAGTTACGATTTGAGTGTAGAGTTTGAAAATAGTGTATAGTTTTGAGTTATGTGTTTGGTTATGAGTTTTGAAAATAATTTTTGAATTGAGTTTTGGATTATATGTTTGGTTGCAATTTGAGTGTGGAGTTTTAAAAATAGTGGTGTTTCAAGTTATGTGTTTGGTTATGAGTTTTGAAAATAATTTTTGAATTGAATTTTGAGTTATGTGTTTGGTTGTGATTTGAGTGCGGAGTTTTGAAAGTAGCGTAGAATTTCAAATTATGTGTTCGGTTATGAGTTTTGAAAATAGTTTTTGAATTGAATTTTTAGTTATGTATTTGGTTACAATTTGAGTGTAGAGTTTTGAAAGTAGTGTAAAATTTCAAATTATGTATTTGATTATAAGTTTTGAAAATAATTTTTGAATTGGCCTTGTTTGGGAACAGGCTAATTTAGTAACTTTTTGGCTATTTGGCTAAAATATGAGCTAAAAAAAACTAATATGTTTGGGATGACTTTTTAACTTTTTACGAAAAAATGTGCAAAAAGTAGAGAGAAAAGAGAATCTTTGACTTATTGGTATGGATTGTTGGCTTTTTGACTAATTTAGTAACTTTTTGACTTTTTGGCTAAAAAGAAGAGTTCCCAAACGAGGCCTGAGTTTTGAGTTATGTGTTTGATTACAATTTGAGTGTGGGATTGTGTTTTGAGTTTCAAATATTAAAATTAAAATATTTACAAAATAAAATAAAACATTTAAAATATTTAAATAAAAATTATATATTTAAAATAAAATATAATTTTTTTATTCAAAATACAACTCAAAATTCAAAAACTCAAAACTCTTTTCAAAATTCAAAGACTCTTTTCAAATCATTTTTTAAAGAGTAATGCTAGAGACCCCAAATATTTTACCAAAAGTTTTACCAAATGTCTCACATGGGTGTGGGACCCACACAATGTGGGTCCCATGTGGGTCCCACACCCATGTGAGACATTTGGTAGAATTTTTGGGGCCTCTAGCATTTTTGTTTTTTAAAACTCTTTTCAAAACTCATAACCAAACAAATTTTTTCTTTTCAAAACTCAACTCACAATTCCACACTTAAATCACAATTCCGCACTCAAATCATAATTCCAAAACTAAACCAAACGAAACCATCATGTTTTGGACTACTTCAATCATGAGAATTAACCAATATATATATATATATATATATATATTCTAGTCTATTAAGCGTACACCCTATTTGGTGTGAATGTTGTCACATTTTTTTTTTTTTCAAAAATGTCCTCCACATCCAATAATTGCCACATCTAATAGTTGTTAAATCATATGCCTGGTTCCCTAGAGGAGATGGAAAAAGGGAGCAGTTTTTAGATCTAAGCTTGACAAAGTTTTTTGAAATGTAGTTAGCAGCAGCAGTACCCAATCATGTACTAGTCCTTTTGTGTTGTTTGAGGGCCATAATGGCACAGATATCAGGGGTAATAAGTGCACTTATTTAGAGAGCCATCTTTTGCTTCCCATATACAAATATGTGATTTTTTTTTAACTTATAAATGAAGTCATACACCTAACAAGACCTCCCAATACAGGTGCATAGCAACTATTACATTATGCAACTAGCTTTACCCAAAGGCAACATCAGAGTTGCAAATAATAACATCCTATGAAGCACAGATACTGCAACATATATGTACTTCGTATGGTACTTTGCATACGTACCCTTGGTACACACACGTACCTGCATTTTTTCTTCTCAATTTTTGTCATGCAGTACCTAATATATACCAAGTCGCACCTCAATTGAAATAGTACTTTCTGAAATTAGTTTTATTGGAATTTTATTATTATTATTATTATTTCAAAATTAAATTATGATTTGTATGTTATTTAATATAATAATATTTAATTTTAACCTTTACGTACTAAATGTAAATTGTAAGTTAGATCTTAACCAACAAAATCATTTAATTAATTTTTACAATACTCCAAAAGCAATCGTCAACCTAATTAGTACAAACTGACATCAACTCCATAAAAGGAGAACTACATGCAGGTGCGAGTAAAGAAAAAATATTACCAACACATGGAGAGGTGCAAGCCTATAGCCTTTCATTTGCACCCAATTACATACACACTCCCACCTGCATGTAGTTCCCCTTTTATAAAACCCTAGATTGCAACAAAGACTAAAAAAAAATTAAATTAAATTTGTTCAGACTTTTAAACCCTAGTCTTACATGACAATGCCACCAATTTTGAAACTGATCAGACTCTTTCAAAAATTTCAACTTTATTACAATTCGCACTTCCAACACTAACCCTACACAATGCTGTATGAAATTTAACCACCATTACATAATCAAAAACGATTTCGAAAAAAAAAAATGTTCAGAAAAAAAGTATTTTGCGACTTTTCCCCTCTAACTAACTTACGCGACAAGTAAAAGACCTCCAGAGTTCACTATCATCCCATTTTCACAATCAGATTCAATCTGTACTTGAAATTTCAAATTCAAATACTAATAAGCCATGAATTTCGTACTCATAAACAAATTCAAAAAATTAACACACACACACACACAGAAAAAAATTAAAATTAAAAATCAGATCATACGCTTATGTCAGATTGATGAACCATGAACGAAACAACAGACTCCAAATAGTAAATTCAACAACCAAAACAGTGTATAGATTAAAACCCTATCCGATCAAAGGGAGAGAGAAATTCAAAAGAACAGAATGAAATTAGGTTGAAGATCGTACCGATTTCCAATGTTTTCCAATCAAAGAGAGAGGAGAGACAGAAAATACAGAAGCTCTATGTGCTTCGTCTTCTTCCCTCAGGACTTTTCTTAAAGGGAAGATTTGGGGAAGGAGACCGCAGAAGATTGTTCGGTGCTTTCTGTACAGGTTACACGAGTCGGTGAGGGCTCGAAACACTGCCACGTGTCCCAAGTAGGTATGCGATTCGTTCACGTACACTACCGTCCATGTTGATGCAGTGTGCGTGCTCTCACACGAATATATAATGGTTGTGCAAATGCTTTTCGCTTTCAAATTTTCTTTCAACTCCCCCCCTTTTTTTTTCAACCGAAAATATTTTGCTTGGTTTCACTATTTTAAAAACATTTTCCAAAAATAATAGAGGTTGAGACCCCCTTTGGGGTCACCCCTCGACCCCCTCTTAGTTTTGATTGGTTAATTTTTTTTTTTTTCTTCTCACTCAATCCCCAACCTCCATGTATGTGAGGAGTTGTGGGGTGGAGGTTTTAAGAGGGTCTAAATCAATTCCCTTCCAAAAAATTCTATTTTTTTATTTTTTCTGTTTTTTTTATTTTTATTGAATTTTTTTAATATTTTTAATAATTTTTTTAATTTTTGAACGCACCAAACTTAGATGTATCTAAAAAGTAACAAATTTGTGAAAAATCTTTTAAAACTTCACTAAATAACAAAAATATACCAGAATTTAGTACAAATTTTATATTTTTATGTATTTATTAATTTTTTAAAATATTTTTTCACAATACATCTAAGTAAGATGCATCTAAAAAAGTAAAAAAAATATTTAAAATTTTAAAAATGTTCACTAAAAATAAAAAAAATGCGAAAACCAAAAACCTAAAACCAAAAACTTAATTTTAAAAAAACTTAATTCAAAAAACTCAAACCAAACACACTGATTAGCACCCCATGATTTATTTTAAACCCCTCATTTTTTTGAACCCTTACTTATAAATTTTGAAACCCTTAAAAAAAAAATTCCCCTAAATAATACCAAAATTATCCTTAAACATTCCCCCATTGAATACACACCCCCACACCTCCACACTCCCCAAAAAAATCTCCCTCCCAAAAAAACCCTAACAAAACCCACTAAGAAGGAGAAGAGTCTTATCCTTCCTAAAACCCACGAAAAAGAAAGATATTGTCCCTGCCGATTTAACCATTGTCACAGTTGGTATGTTTTCTCTCTCATTGTTTCTTCAAAACTGGAACTATCGAACTTGAAAAAATAAAATTTTTATGAGTGTTAAGAATTTTAACCGTTGAAAGTGTTAACAAGTTTCCATGTTCGGAGCTGCATTCCCAAACAAATAATCTGTGTTCGGGAATGTGTTCATGAACAAATAAGTAATGTTCAGGCCTGTATTCCCGAACTTGAAAAAATGAAAACTTTTGCCAGCGTTAACAATTTTGACCGTTCAATATGTTAAGAAATTTCTATGTTCGGACCTACATTCTAGAACGTTATTTATTTGTTCGGGGAACATCTTCCCGAACAAATAAGTAATGTTCGGACCTGTATTCCCGAACTTGAAAAAATGAAAATTTTGATAAACTTTAACAATTTTGATCGTTAAATGTGTTAAGAAATTTTTATGTTTTGACCGTTCAATGTAGGTAATCAAATGGTTGCCACCGTTACCTCCAAAATATTGCCGCCAAAGGATTTTCAAAATTTTGAGGGTAGGTAGGTTTTGAAGATATAATTTGGAAAAATGAATGGGTAGTGATGGAGGTGGGTGTGCTCATAACCCCTAGTTCATGATGTGGTGGGTGTGTCCCAAAATCAATGATATCCTTTGTAATAATTTTTTTTGAGAATATTATTGTAATAAAAAAAAGGCTAAAAATTGAGGGTTCAAAATAATTTATAAGATGCTAATAGCAATACTCTTTTCAAAATATAAAAAAAAAAATGTTTTTTTTTTCCCTTTTCGTTGAAGAAAACAAAAATCGATCCATGTGTTTATTGGAAACCATTTTACATTTGGTATTTTGAAAAAAATAAAATAAAAAATCAAAACAAATAGACAAGAATAATTTATGATGTTCATGATCAAAGGCTTAATAAAAAAAATTATGAGTAAAATAATATTAATTTATCTTTGTTAAATAGTTAATAAATAAAGAATGACCTATTTAATGTGTTTGTGATTTTTTATTTGTCTGAATATCATGTAAATAGTTAAACATAATATTTTAGAACTACAACGTAAAAGATTAAAATTGCTTTTTATTATCTATGGATAATGATTTAATTCAGATGTAAAATATATATTTTTTAAATTCATAATTAAAAGAAGAAATCATTTCCAACCAAACATCGCCGGCATGCCATTATTTTAAAATTCATAACTAAACACAAGAAAATTCTCATAATTTTTTTGTAATTTTTTTTTAGGAAAAAAAATATCGATGCAGAGCTAGTGGGCAGCAGGGTCACTGCTGTGCCACCTCCCTATTGTGTTCTGCTGTGCCGTGAAACGGCACAGTTTCATCCCTTTTTTTTTTTTTTTTCTTTTTCATGCTCTCACACAGTCTCATCTTTTTCTTTTCTTTTAATTTTTTTTTATTTTAGAGTTTAGAGTTCAGGATTTAGGGTTTAATTTTTTTTTTTAAAAAAAATATTTTAGAGTTTAGGGATATATATATATATATTTTTTATTTTAGGGTTTAGGGTTTAATTCTTAAATTTTTTTTATAATTTTTTATTTTAGGGTTTAAGGTTTAGCATTTAATTCTTAAAATTTGTTTTTTTTTTATTTTAGGATTTAATTTTTAAAATTTAATTTTTTTTATTTTAGGGTTTAGGGTTTAGGTTTAATTCTTAAAATTTATTATTTTTATTTTAAAATTTAAGGTTTAGGGTTTAATTTTTAAAATTTATTTATATTGTAAAACACGATCAAAGGCTTCTTGATATGCCAGGTATGGAAAGTGCGAAAATTCACCCCTCTAAACGCGTGCGAGCACACATTCTTTTCCGGCTACTAAGTTGTCCATTAAGAAGCACGAACACTTTAGCAGAGGATTTGACACTCGTGTTCGGCACCAACACTTTTTGGACACTCCTAAAATGTGTCTTAATTAAAAAATTAAATTCATAATATCGAACACTATAGCAACACTTCTAGGGAGGGGCCACAGCAGGTAAAATAAAAAAAAATTAGAATTAAACCCTAAATCCTAAACCGTAAAAAAAAAAAAATTAAGGATTAAACCTAAATCCTAAACCCTAAAATAAAAAAATAATTATCCCTAAGCTCTAAAATAAAAAAATAAATTTTAAAAATTAAAACCTAAATCCTAAATTCTAAACTCTAAACTCTAAAATAAATAAATAAAAAAGATGAAACTGTGTGAAAAAAAAAAAAAAAGGGGATGAAACTGTGCCGTTTCACGGCACAGCAGAACACAACAGGGAGGGGGCACAGCACTGACCCCGCTCCCGAGCTAGTGATTAAAAAAAAAAGAAGCAATCATCTAATTAGGACATGTTTGGGACCAGTACAGAGTGGATTACGTGCTTTTGGATATGTGCAATGTAAATTATCATTAAAAAGAAAAAAATTATAAATTCTTCATAGTTATCCTTAAAAAGTCATTTTCGCTTTCTTCCCCCTCTATGTTTCATTTTTTGTTAAACTTGTGCACTCAGTCCCTGAGTGCCATCCTGGTGTGACTACAATTTGTCTAGCAAATGTTGACATAGTGGTATCTAAAGACTCCCCATTTTTTCCTTTCTTTTTTGACTTTTCCTTCGTTGGCACAAACTTTTCCATGTCTTTGATCATCATGGCACCATTTGGATCCGCAAAAAAGTTGGTTGAAAGGGGACCTGAATTTGATATCAAAAACAAATTCTGATCCACAGTTGATTTTTCATCCCTGTCAGGCCCAAAAAAAAAAATAATAATAATAATAATTACATCTCATCATAAAAATTAGGTAAACTCGGAAATTAGAATCCCATCATCAACTATCAAAAAACAAAAAAACGTGTATACTCTGGGACCCTATTGCAGCATGCCACTCAGCTCTATGGTCCCCTTCATCGAAAAATAGGGCATGTCCTCAATTTATATAGGACATATGGTTGAAAATTTGAGACTAATGTAGTGCTATCCATGTCACAAATCTTTACTTCGATGCCAAGAAAAGAGCATAACATTGAAAGGGCAAGTCCTTCTCCTCTCTCTTTCCAAAAGCACCTCTTCCTAAAAAGTATATTAGATGTGCCAAGCTCAAACTACACACTTAATGAAATATTATTTTAATGACAATTATATTCTAAAATAAAAAGATTATAATGGACATCAAAATACACCTATAATATTATATCAAAATATTCTCTATAACATATTTAAAAAAAAAAAAAAATCTCAATACACATCTTTTGAATAAACAAAAATTAAACCCTAATTTCTCCACTAGTTATCATTTCTTTTATTGTTTTTAGTTTACAAGGCCAATTTGCCTTGATTAGGAGCATATTTGTCTCTTCTGATGGGATGTCTTTTTACTCCTACCAATATTCAGAAAAACATTGGATCATACAGTTAACCACATTGTGTACCTGTTAAACAAGCTGAAAAAGTAAACGAACCAAGATTGCAAGCGGAAATGTTCTGGAGAAAAGCGACAAGCCCAGTGGAGATATCAGTCAAGACAATAAACCAGGTCTGAAAATATCTAATATTTCGAAAGTCGACAGTGGATTAAGGCTTTTTTCTTTTCTTTTTTTTTAGGTAAATTTGTGCCGAATGAAAAATCAAAAAAATCATAGAAAAACATGCTAGTTTTCCAATGGAACGCAAACAAAATGAAATGCAAATGGATAATACATAAAAAAAAAAAATTCAATTGGAGGGTTTTCAATGAAATTGTCAAATATAGGGTCTTGGAGATGTCAATGGGTCTTCATGGTTTCTTCAATGGGTCATTTCATGCATATGTGGAAGAGGGTTTTCAATTGAATGGGTAAAGGTACGTGGAATGAGGTTTTAGGTGGTGTGTGTACAAGGATATGAATATGTTAGAAATTGGACGCCCATGTAGTATGACCTTTTGAACCTTATCCATGTAAGTTTGAATTTGAATTCAAAACTTACTTGGATAACCACTCAGGATATCCATATCTATCATATCAACTGATATGGATAGATGAGATATTATCCTATATATCTGATATAATATGAGATATGGG